CAAGACGATGAGATACATCGCTGGTGAGTGCCGGGGGCAGTTGTCCATCGCCTGCTGTCGATGGGTGATGCCTCAGCCCCGCGCTGAGGCTCGGGCTGCAGCTGCCTCGTGGGCACACGCAGGTGTGGGGAGCATCCCTCGCTGCCAGGACTGAGGGCCGGTGCTCTGGGCTACCGGTGGCCTTGAGAAGGGCTTTTGGGAGGTCCACACCCTTGGCAGATGGGCTTTGTGTCTGAAGTTTTCCTCTCTGCCTGAGGTGTTTCAGGGTCCTGTGAGATGTGGGACCCTAGATCCCATCAGACAGGAGGAGTTGTGTGGGTTAGAGGGGGTCGCAGCCTTTGCAGAGTCGGCATGTGTTTTGTCTGCAGATATCGTCAATGCTGACAAGATGTCAGGGAGGAGCAGGAAGTACAAGATTATCTTCAGCCCCCAGAAGGTCAGTTTGACCGCGCTCTGCTGCAGTTACCCCACCGCTCTGTGTCTGCCTGCCCTTCGTGCCTTCCACCAGAAGTGTTTAATTAAAATCAAGCGTAGGGATGCCTGGGAATGAGCTGGTCCCCTCCGCCGCCAGAGCCTTTCTGCACGCTCGGAGCCCAGCTGGGCCCTGAGGGTCTCTCCTTCTCTTCCAGTTCTATGCCTGCGAGATGGTGCTGGAGGAAGAGGGAGTCTTTGGCGGTGAGTGGGGCTGTGGCACCTGCCCCTTCCCCTGCCCGAGGGCTGGCTCGCGGTAGCTCTGATGCTGCAGAATCCCAGTTGAACCCCAGTACTGGGATCCCTGTGCTGGCAGGGACAGGAGCGCGGGCAGTCCCCGGGGAGCCTGGCTGCCCGCCTGCAGGCAGGCGTGTGCGCGCCCCAGCATCGGCACCTCTCCATCTTCTGGGAGGAGAGAGGGTCCTGCCAGGAATCCCCGTGGAGGGGCCCCATCTCTGCTCCCACACCCCCGTTTGCAGGGCTGTCCTGACTCTTGGGGCTGTTTCTGCCGAGGGCTGGGTTACCGTCACCTTTCCCTGTCCCAACTTCAGACGTCACCTGCGATGAATGGTCCTTCTACCTGCTCCCCCTGGACGAGGACATCATCAGCATGGAGCTGCCCGAGTTCTTCCGCGACTACTTCCTGGTCAGTGGGACGCTGCCGCTGGGATGCTGCCCTGCGGGGTGGCAGCCCTTCCCTTGCTCAGCCCTTGGGCTCAGGACAGAAAAGCTTCATTCAGGGACCTGATGATGTCCCCCTCAGCCCTCACCGCGGGCCCTCGCCTGCTGTCCTGGGGCGGCTTTTACCAGGGGTGGCTGCTCTGATGGGCTGTGATGCCTCTCCTCTGCACACAGTCCCCCCTGCGCTGGCCCTTCCTCTGCTCCCCCCGAGCACCTTCGGGGCATCCTGGCACATTCCCATGCGCGTTCCTCCTGGAAGCACCAAGCCCAGGGCCTGCTCCATCCCCAGTCCATCGCTAGCCGAGTGCCCCCGATGTGGCAGTCGTTTCCCAGCCAGCCTGTCCCAGACTCACTCCCCGATGTCTCCTGGTCCCTGCAGGAGGGAGATCACCGCTGGATCAACTCCGTTGCTCGAGCCCTGCAGTTACTGAACTCCCTGTACGGACCTTTCGGCAAAGCCTATGGGATTGGCAGGTGTGCCAAGGTACAGCCCACG